GGCGATCACGACAGCAAGGACGAGGGAAAAGATGGAGGATGAGGAGGAGGAGGAGACCGTGAAGGAGGAGGAGGTGGAGGTGGAGGGTAGGAGGGAAGGAGGGTAGGAGGGAGGGTAGGAGGGAGGAGGCATCGGCATTGGTATCGGTAAGATGCGGCTCGCTGTTGGCTCGAGAAGCCGATGATGCATTCGGCCTCTTGTGAAGAAAGGGTTCCATCCCGAGCCGGACGGGCCCCGATCGAAGAGGGAGCCCGGCACAGGGCCGATTCCAAGGGCAGGTCTGCGTCGCTGCCACCTGCGCTGCTCGGCCGGCCCCCTCTTCTTCTGAACCGGCCGCTTCAACTCGGGAGGCAAGGTAGGAAGAGGCGGGGGGAGGTTGGGAGGTTCCCCCAGTACGGCCTCGTCTCCAGGAAGGCCATGATCTTCTCCTACTCCTCCTCCTGCTCCTCCTCCTCATCCTCAGTTCTCCTCCTCCTCCTCATCCTCCTCCTCCTCCTCCTCCTCCTCCTCCTCCAGCTCCTCCCCCTCCTCAGGTGCATCCTGAGCTCCCCTGGTCGGGCCAGCGGTGGGTCACGGCTCGGGTCGGTCGAATCTGGCATCCCTCTTCCTGGCTCGGTGATCAAACATGGCACAGATTTGAGCGAGATTGTCATCCAGGTCCAGTTAGGGATCGAAAGGTTGGTGGACTGCACAGGGCCCGTCAGGCCAGGGAGACAAGTCGGTCTCAACGCAATTAGCTGCCCAAGCCCTTTCCAAATACATGTGCATAGATCTGGCCATGGTCTCGCACATTTCTTTGGGATACCGTTCCTTTGGGGCCGTGCGCCAAGAACCGTCAGCATTTCTACTTTCGAGTCTCCTGTGGTATATCTTGGGGTGTGGGCATCTTCCAATCCGTCCAGTTTCCGTGATGCTGTCTCTGAGTTCGTGTTGGCGAAAAGCCAAGAGAGTAGTCGGAGCTTTGCTGCCCAAAGATACGCTGGTCAAAACATATTATGTGTGCCGCTGGCGATGCCGCGATCGCCTTGGCCGCGTCTGTCTCCCAGGAACTCGGGGCCCAAGGTTCCCACCAGTCATGCTCCGGGCGCGCCACAACCCCGCAGCCCCCAGATTGTAAGCAGACCGTCTAGAGTTGGTGGGCGTTGAGCAACAAGTGGTCTGCAATCTCTAACTGGAGATGTTGCTGGTAGGTGACATCCTGGTCTCCCCCATGGGCGCTTGTACGTTCGCAGCGCAGGCGGTCCCGACCCTCTGGAGTTGGTGAGTCAATTCCATATTACAGCTGACCAGGACTCGCATGGGGGCCCCCCCGCAATGCCGAAGGAAAGTCCCGACTTGAGTCGGCCATACCATTTTCTCAACGATATGGGGTCTTGGTGAGGTCCCCGAGCTGGCTGTTCAAGGAGATGACCAAGGAAATGAGTATCACCGTCCAGGGTCCAGAAAACAGCACTTTACCAAAGAATCCTTGAAGGTCCCCAGGTCGCCTAGCTCCCGAGAACAAGTGCACAAACGCCAGAACCGTGTTCATGGGTAAGATACTCCCCGCCTCTCCGTCGTATCCCTCAGGTCTGAATGGCCACTCCTCATCCTGTGGGTCGGGGGCGTCGTTAATTCCGATGAAGGGAAGGTTGGAGGTGTCATGCTCGTATTCTAATTCGCGTGAAAGCTTCCAGGTTTCGGCATATGACATATTGGCTCGGACGGGGGTATGAAGGGTCCAGGGACGCGGCGCGCAGGAAATATCTTCTCTCTCCGCATAGCCCCCCTTGGAACGAGCTTCCATCCTGGCAGTGGCCTCCTCGATATCACAAAAATCAGCCTCCACGTCTTCCACTGGATTCAAGTGGAGGAGAGCCGTCAACATGCACAGCGCACGGCCTCGCGCAAGGCGGTCGACCGCCAGCGCTTGCGAGTCAAACCTCGCGAGGCATCCTCAGCAAGTAGGCAACGAAAGGTACCGCGCACGTAACCGGTCGTCGATGTTTGACGCGCTGCGAAGAAATATGCGCTCTCTAAGTGCAGCAGGTTTGGGTGTCGGGTAGGGGCAGCACGGGCAGAAGCACCTCTTGGGAGGAAGCACTGGCACACGCAGACGCTGCAATGGGACCCCATACTGCTCAGCTTCCTCCAAGATCTTCCTGGTTCGGGTCTCGGCCGAAACCCTGCTGGTTTGCTACCTGACGTGAGCCTGGATCGCTTCAGACACCTTGCTCACCCAAGGCTTCCCTGGTTTGCAAATCTCGGCCTCCGACTTCGGAAAATCGGGGTAGTCAGCCTTGGACCGGGACATTCGTACGCATCCACCGAATACCGTCCAGAACCAGGGAATGCCATTTCCTTTCAGCACGGATTTATAAAACTTCATTTTCTGAGCGGCGTGTCTGTTGATCTGGGCCTCAGCGGCCACGCGCCGCACACTAGCTTTGCATAGCCTGACGTCACTGTCGGACTACATTGTCGGACGCAGCCAGCGGCTGATTCTGGAAAACTACATTTCACAAAGTCCTAGTTGACCCAGCCGTCGACTAGACCCCGTGAGTCATCTCTGGGCCCAAGTCCATCTTGTCCGAGACGATGCAGCCCAAACGTTTGCAGGTGTTCACGGCCCCAATGGACTCCCCGATGATAGGTAGGTGACTTCGGGACCTCGATCACCCCCAGGTCACCCAGCCAGAACTGCCTGCGAGCCGCGATGGCCCCCTTGCCCCAGAACGTGAGCATGGTCAGAGCGAGGGGGCCGAACGGTCATTCAGTGTCCTCGGGTGCGTGGCTGAAGTGGGGATCCGTGGTGATGGTTCTGTTTGTTTGCGTTGTTACGTTGTCGTTGTTTGTGCGTTGTCTGCGCCCCGCCCGCGACCCGCCCGCGCCCCGCCCCGCGACCCGCCCCGCGACCCACCTCGCGACCCACCCCGCGACCCACCCCGCGACCCAACCCGCGACCCGCCCGCGACCCACCCGCGACCCAACCCGCGACCCATTCACGACCCACCCGCGATCCACCCCGCGACCCACCCTCGACCCACCCCGCGACCCACCCGCGACCCAACCCGCGACCCACTGGCGACCCACTGGCGACCCACTTGAGACCCGCGACCCACCCGCGACCCAACCCGCAACCCAACCCGCGACCCACCCGCGACCCACCCCGCGACCCCCCCCGCGACCCACCCGCGACATACCCGCGGCCCACCTCGCGACCCACCCGCGACCCACTCCGCGACCCACCCGCGACCTAGCCACATTGGTTTAACGAAAAAATCAGCGCCCGCGGCGGGCTCGTTGTACAATTTGAAACGTTGGCGCTTGCGGCAGGCTTCTCCAGAGTTTCGCAGGTTGGCGACGTCCACTTCGCCTCCTCGCTCTTTTCCGCATCTGCGGGCTGCTACGTAGCCGTTTTCGCGGGCCCCAGGTTGAGTCGGAGCCCAGTTGGGGTTAACGCATTGACCACGATGTGAAACATCGCCCTCGCGTCGGCAATTAGCAGCTCGGCTGGCGCAGTCGTGGGGAACAGACCGTCGCCAATGTAGTTGGCCCCGTCTGCTGACGCCGCCGCGTAACTCTCGACGCCGATGTCCAGGACCCTTTTCTGGTAGGCGAGAAACTCCTGGAGGAGGTGGGCCTGGCCGGTCCGGATGAGACACCTAGAGATGAAAAGCAAGGAAACCATGGAGGCTAGGGCGCCGCCTGGCCTGCCAGCAGCGGTGACAGCTATCTTCCTCGCCCCGGGCGTCGTAGCCCAAGTAGCAGGGCGCTTCGACCAGGAGGGCACACATGTGTTGGGGGACGTCCATTTCAGACAGGACGGCGGGGGACCCCAGGGCCCTGGCCATGCCCTGCGCGGCTTTAGGGGGGGGGGGGGGGATATTTCAGGAGCGGGCCCCCCTGTTCGTCCGATATCTCACCTGAGTTGTCAAAACAGACCACGAGCTCGCGAATAACATGGCGGAACGCCGCCTCGAGGTCGACAAGGAGAAAGCCTAGGCAGGTGGCGCGCAGAACTACCACTTGCTG